GATAATAGAAGAATTGATGCTTTTGAGTTTTGTTGTTGGAGAAGAGTGCTGAACATCCCATGGCCTGATAAAAGAACAAATAAATATATCTTGAGAAAGTGCAGCCAGAGTCCTCTATGGAGGTAAGGATGTTGAGACTTCATTGCATTTATTTAGGTATTCTTCTAGGAAAGAAGATTCCTAGGAGAGGGACGTGATGCTTGGAAGGGTGGAGATTGGTGAAGGAGAGGAAGATCCTCAGGTGGATTGACATGATGCCTGCCGCAATTGGCTTTAATATGTCAGGAAATGAGGGTTGACACAAAATGGGATAGATTCAGATCTGCTGTTCATAGGGTTGTTATGAGTTGTACTTGACTTGATGGCATTCAGCAACTCTTCAATGTTTTTATTCAATTGTAAAAGTACAATGGTATCAGAGAACTGAACAATGACTAGGGATGACAGAAGGAGAATTGATGCCTTTGAGTTGTGGTGTTGGTGAAGAGTGTCGAATATACCGTGGACTGGTAAAAGAACAAACAAGTTCAACCTAGAGAGGGCGAAACCAGGCTGCTCCTTGGAGGCAAGGATTCTGAAGCTTCCACTTACATACTTTGGGCATGTTGCAAGAAGGGACCAGTCCTTGGAGAGAGACGTCATGCTTAGGAGGGTAGAGGGACAGTGTAGGAGAGGAAGACCCTTGATGAGACAGATTGATTCAGTGACTGCGATAATGGGGGTAGCTGTGTCAAAGACAATAAGATTGGCACAGGATAGAGCAGGGTTTAGGGCTGTTGTACATAACATCTCTACGAAGCACGGAAGACACTCCAGCACATAACAATAACTTCCAGATGCAGTTTAACTAGATGTCTTAAAGACAATAGTTTTCTGTGATCTTCAAGGAAAAGATGAGGGCATAAGCATATACAAAAATCTTTCTTAGGGCTATGACCTTGAATGCTTCTGTAAAAATGAAAAATACCAATTTAAATGAAAATAATATTTGCTATTTTAGTGTTGTATGTTCATGTAGTTGAAAATAAAATGTTGTTTGACTAAATTAAATATTTATGTAAAAATTCTTTAAATTACTTTGTCTATCTATCATCTATCTATCTATCTATCTATCTATCTATCTATCTGTCTGTCTGTCTATGGAGAGAGGAGAGAAATTAAGATCAGAGAAGATAGCTATTGTCAACATGTTTGCCAATTATCTCATTATTTTAAGGACTGTTTCAGGATGGCTCCTTTGAACCTAAATGATTAAGGAATGGGAATAGCCACTGAATTCAATGTTGAATGACACTTATAAAATGAACAAAGGTATATTTCTTTATTTTTAAAAGAAAATATATAAGAAAGCTTAAAAAATTAAAAACAAAAAAATTACAAAATTTAAAAATAAAGCTGAAAAACCATGTGCTTTGCTATGTTTTTCCGTACTTTTGATTTATGTAACAATTCTGACCTTACCTTTCTAAAGACAGTTGCCTAGGAAGAGGCAAAATAATTCCTAGAGAGGACCTGAAACCTGAATTTGCACCTCAAGACAAGTCTCCTGGGGCAGAGCAAAGGATTGAAAAGAAGTAGCAAGTTTCTTTTCCTCATTTCTCTCCTCTGCCCTTCTGTTTTTACTCGACTCATATATGAACTTAAAAACAAATACAAAAGCCAGGTTGGGATGGTCACCCTGTTCATACTATCCATTGTTCAGTTGGGATTGACTTGGAAGTTCTTTCATTAGAAGAAATCTAGCACAGAAAGGACAAGAACTGTTGCTCATCTACAGGAATACTGTGACAATAAGCCAAATCACACATACAGAAAAGCGTTTGATACCTCTGAGCAAAGCTATAGGTAGGATAAAGCTATCTGCAAAATGAGAGGATTTAACTAGATAGTCTGGCAGGTCTGATCAGTTTGACAAATAATTGCAAGCTACTCTCAACGGTCACATTTTCTATGTTGTAAAAACATGCTTACTTTGCTAAGGTGAACAGAAAAGTAAAACATCATGGCATCAACTTTCTGCTATAAAGATGAATTATGTTGTGATTAAAGTAGGTGAGTTAAATTTCACTATATTTTTGGCGTAAATAAGCTAATAGTCAAAAGTTTAAATTCATATATGTTATAGTAAACTTACATTTACATACTCATATTTTACATATTTACAAACTTACATTTACATACTTAAGAATGTAAAACAGATGTTGCTACTGGCTTGTACATTTGCACAGGTAAGACCAGTAAATCATTTTTGAAGCCCTGATAGTTTGTAACCTATCTTGCATCCAGGATGTCTCTCTCTTATCCATGTTTTTCCAGGTAACTGAGGCACAGACTGTTCTTTTCTCATGGAAGTTTGGGAACCTCAGACACTATTTTTTAAAGGGTAAAAAAGAAAAAAAAAAATTAAAAAGTGATTCCAGAAACGTAAGCTTAATGTGACAAGCAAAGCATTATTTCTGTGGAAGATAAAGCATTGTTTCCACTTCCAATAGCTCATCCAGGGAAGTCACTACTAAGGCACCATCCTGCAGCATTCTTAGATAGTGAGACACAGTACATTCCACCTCTCAAATGCCAGAAAGCAGCGATTAACTTCCTGTCCAGTACTCTGGCATTCCAATTAGCCTAGGGATGGGAATGATTTGTAATTTGACCCTGGATGGTTATCCTGGTGTTCCTTGGTTACATAGGGTTGTTGCAACCTGTTGTTTCTCTTTTGTAGAAGGATAGGATTCTTCTGATTCCACCTTATTGATCAACTTTTCACCAGTGGAAGAGTCAGAGGTAATTCCTTCTGTTTTTCTATTTTGGTCTTACAAAATATTAAAAACAACTTTGAATAACTCTAACATTGGCATCGTCCTATTTTTTAATAGCCTCTTTATGTAGCTTGGAAAGGTCAAAGATTCCTTTTTGTACCAACTTTGTTTTAAAGATCCAAAATTTTGTAAAATTTTCCATTTCAGAAATACTGGACAACACAGTAAAAACACCCTCTGCAAAGAGTTATAGACATACTGTCAGAGTATTGTCAATTCATTTGGATAACTCAAGTGGGCTTCTCCCCCACCCTTCTCTTCTTTTTCAATGCTCTTCTAAAAGGAAACACTCATATTTTTTATTTGTTTTTGCTTTTGGTTCCATAAGAGGTAGTTTATATATTTCCCTCTTAGCCTTCTTCCATTTCTCTAATTGTTTCCTTCTGTCCTCTATTACCTTTTTGTTAATATCTGGGTTAGCCTGAGTCCTTTTTGGACTCCTTTTCTACTCATGATGTGGTCAATTGTCTCAGTCTTGGAAGCTGACTTATTATTCAGAAATTCATTTTGGGAAAGAGCCTTTTTCAACTTAGAGTCCAAAGTTTGTGCTTTTTTGTTGAAAGCTGTTACATTTATTATTATTGGTCCCATTGGAAAAGGTGTGCTTGGAATTACTGAATTAGAACTTCCTGCACTCACTTAAAGTCTATGCCTTACGGCTTTTTAATTTTACCATGCATATGATGCACAGACTCTAAAAGGCTGCAAAGATTTTTGGTCTTGCTTAATGTTTGTATATCTATTGTCAATTATTCCTTGAAGTAAAGTGGTATAGGTCCTTGGTTTAGTATGTTTTGGTATTTGTTCATGAGCAAAAGTGCTCAGTGTGATTGTAATGTAGATTCACCTGATATTTCATGTTTATCACTATAAACTTATATATTTTCATTCTTTGTTTTTTTGCTTGAATTTCTATTATTACATTTCTAAAAGTTATTCATTATAGCACATTTCCTTCCTCCTTCCCTCTATCTACCCTACCTTCACCACAATGCCCCCTTGTTCCAAACTGTTCTCATACTTATAATGTATAATCATATATTCCTTTATAATGGTTCTTCCCTTCATCTATTCCAATGCAGTGTTCATTATCTATCCACCCATTCTGTCTCCAACCACTCCATGTCTGCTCTATTTTACAACAGCAGTGCTATGCAGTATCTATGACTTTGTGACCGAGAAATTTCACTTAGCATAATGTCTTCAAGACTCGCCCCCCCCCATGATGTATAATGTTGTACTATTTTCTTGGTTTCCAATGCTGCATAATAGTCCATTGTTGGATGTACCATAGTTTTTCTATCCATTAATTTATTGATGGCCACTCAGGTTGCTTCCATGTTTTTGCTATTGTGAATAATGAAGAAATAAACATGGGTGTGCATACATCTATTTGATTTGTGGCTCTGTTTTCTTTAGGGTATATTCCTAGCAGTGTAATTACTGAGTCAAAGGGTATTTCTAAATCCAACTTCTTAAAAAAGAACCAGACCATCTTCCATAGTGATTGTACCAATTTATATTCTCTCTAGCAGTTAAAAAGAGTTCCAATTTTTCTGCAACCTCTTGATTCTTGGTTGCTGCTTTCTTTGATGAAAGAATCCTACTCTGCTTCTTAACAAACTGACAGGAAACTGTCCTTGGGGTTTCCCCCTTAGTCTTTTAAGATCTACTTTACCAAGTTGCTGTGATTTTACTGGTAGATTCTTGATTTATGTTTTTTTCAAAACATTGTTTATTAGCTCTGTCTTTCAGAATAGCACTATTCGTAAAACTTTTGCTCAATGTCTGCTTAGGAAGCAGCCTTCCCTTGACAGGGTTATGAGAGTTAGTCTTCACCTTACTTATTGTACAAAATTCAGCATCTGGCTTCCTCTCCAAATCTGCTAAGATTTGAAGAAAATCTTCTTTGTTAATTTCCTTTACTAAGTAAGGTTTCACTTCCAACCTGGGCATTCTCCATAGAATCTATACCTTTAGCCTTTTTCTGATATTTTTGTGAAACTGTTTCTTTATAATTTTCAATATTTGTCAGTGAAGTAACTGCACAAATTTTCCTGGTGGTTCTCTTACAGATCCAGTATTGATCTGTTCATGATCCCGTTTTGAGCTGTTGTTGACTTCTTCTGGAAGGTTTACAATTTAGACTGAAATAAATACATCCTTAACTTTTACTAGGAAGTTTTGGTAAATTCGCCTTTGGTTTCTGGGTCCCAGTGATATTGGTAAGTCTAAGCTGGAGTTTAAGGCCACTGGGCCTTGCAGTTTTGAAAAGGACAGAAACATGGTTGGAAAAATTCTTTTCCTTTTGGGTGGGGGGGTGTCAAATAGTAGATTTACAAGGTATAAGACTTGGGCAGACATTGTCAGTTCTTACATAAAGCGTGGTGTTTTGGCACTTCAGCTTTCCTTCGACTGCTAAGTACTTCCGGAGCCATCTCTGCCTTTCCTCAACAGCTGTGGCAGCTGCAGCACGGACCTCAGATCCCACCATAGTTCCTATGAAACTTAAATAACACCATAAGACTTCAATATATACATTTTCTAAGTTCAAAGGACTTCCAAATATCATATAACATGTGTCTGATAGAGAAGTTTAGTGAGGAAAGCAACAAGTCTACAGTCATACTAATTATAAAAGAAATAATTAATACCAAAGTGATTCAATATTAAATCTTTAATCATGCACAATTCCATACTGTGTACATGATTTTGAGTGATAGGAGCCATAAGTCAGTTACTTGGTAAGTTAAAAAGAAGTATAACAAGAGAATAAATAGAACAAACTGGAAAAGAACAACAGAAGGAAAGGGAAGGATGGCCAGTGTCAGAGAGAAAGTTGAAAGGAAATCTCTTCTGAAATGTGGTATTTTCAAGCTATTCTTATAATTGTGAAAGGATTGAAAGAGCTGAGGTATATAAATGTCTATTACCAGAAAATTAAGAGTATGATGAAAATTTATGCTTGAAATGGCTATTGCTCAATATGCATATATTGCTGTTGTATTCCAAGAAACTGAGGAGGAACTGGAGCACTTGTTGCAGAAGATCAAGGACTACAGCCTCCTATATGGACTGAAGCGCAACATCAAGAAAACAAAGGTTCTCACCACTGGGCCAATTGGCAGCATCAGCATGGATGGTGAAGAGATTGAGATATTTAACAGTTTTAATTTACTTGGCTACACAATCAACACTCTTGGTAATAGCAGCCAGGAAATCAGGAGATGAATTGCATTGGGAAAGTCAGCTGTGAGGGACCTCTCAAGAGTACTGAAGAGCAACGATGTCAGGCTGGAGACTAAGGTGTCCCTGATCTGGGCTATAGTCTTTGCAATTATGTGCTATGCATCAGAGAGTTGGACAGTGAATAGGGTTGATAGAAAGAGGATTGACGCCTTTGAGTTGTGGTGCTGGAGAAGAGTGTTGACTATACCATGGACTGCTAGGAGAACAAACAGATTTATCCTGGAGAGGGTGAAGCCAGAGTGTTCTCTGGAGTCATGGATTCTGAACCTTCATCTGACATATTTTGGGCATGTTGCAAGGAGGGACTGGTCCTTGGAGAGGGACATCATTTTTGGCAGAGTGGAGGGGCGGCAAAGGAGAGGAAGACCTTTGATGAGATGGATTGATTCTGTGACTGGAGCAGTGGGAATAAGTGCGTTTGAGATGGCTAGGTTGGCACAGGATAGAACAGCATTTAGAGCTCTTGTGCATAGGGTCGCTATGAGTCGCAAGCGACTCAATGGCACATGACAACCATAACAATTTCCAGGAAGAAGATAATTGATATATCTTTAGAACAACTACATTGAAAAAGTTTTATATAGTTGAACATAAACACTTTTAGGTATTTTTGTGTGTGTGTGTGTGTGTGTGTGACTGTACCGTCGAATCAGATCTGACTGGTACAGGAAGAGACTGTTCCTCCTTTTCCTGGCAGAGCATCTGGTGGATTCGAACCGTGTGCCTCTGAGATTGTAGTTGCAGCTCCTTGCCACTAGGCCACCAGAGCTCCCAACACTTTTAGGTATTTTAAATAAGCATTATACCAAAAGTATACATGATAGATAAGAAACCATAAAAGTATAAGATAAATTGTTTCCCTGTTTTTCTTTTTAATAGTAAACGGTAGTTGTTACTAGGAGCCATTGAGTTGAATATGATCCATATTAACCCTATGAACAGCAGGTCTGAACTCTGTCCTATCCTGTGCTATCCTCAGAATCTCTGACACACTCAATCCCATTGCTGCAGCCACTGTATCAGTCCATCTGATTGAGGGTCTTCCTCTCTTTCACTGACGCTCCACCTTTCCAAGCATGATGTTCCTTTCCAAGGAATAGCCTCTCCTAGAAGAATGAAATTCAAGATGCACTGAAGGCATTGGGAAAACAAAAATGGGGCCCCTAAAATAGATGGGATACCAATTGAAATGTTTCAAATGACAGATGCAACTCAATGTGCTAACCAGTCTTTGTGAGGAAATTTGGAGGACTTCTGGCTGTTTGGACAACTAACTGGAAGAGATCCATATTTGTTACTATTCCCAAGAGAAGGAACATAATAGAATGTGGAAATTATTGAGCAATGTCATTAATATTACTTGCAGGCAAAATCTTACTGATGATCATTCAAAACTGACTAGAATAATACATAGATAAGGAGCTGTCATGTGTTCAAGTAGGATTTAGAAGATGCCAAGGCACAATATGTGTCATTTCTGATATCAGATAAATCCTGGATGAAAGGAAAGAATACCAGAAAAAGGTCTATTTATTGACTATAAAAGGCATTTTACTTTGCATATCATAACAAGGTATTGGCAAAATTGAGAAGAATGGGGATCCCAGAATAATAAATTGTGCTCGTGTAAAACCTATATCAGCATCAGGAAGCTGTTGTTTGAACAGAGCAAATGAAGTTTAAAATTAACAAAAGAGTATGCCATGTTTGCATCCTCTCTCCATACCTATTCAATTTGTATGCTGAGATAACTATTTGAGAAGCTATACTCTGTGAGGAAGAATGTGGTATCAGGATGGTAGGAAGACTCATCAATAACCTGTGGAATGCAGTAACACAGCTTTCCCTGCTGAAAGTGAGGACTTGAAGGACTTGCTGTAGAAGATCAAAGAATACAACCTTCAATATAGATTTCATCTCAACATCAAGAAAACAAAATTTCTTACTACTGGACCAATAGGAAACAATTTTATAGATGGAGAAAGATTGAAGTTGTCAATTATTTCACCTTAGTCAGATCCACAAATCCTTGGTACCAGCAGTCAGGATATCAGGAAGTGTAATGCACTAGAAAAGTCAATAGTCAGGGATATCTCAAAATTATTGCACAGTAATGATGTCAGTTTGAGGACCAAGGTACATTTGATTTAGGGCATGATCTTTTCAATCACTTACTATGCATCTGAGAGCTGAATAATAAATAAAGATGACAGGAAAAGAATTGATGCCTTTGAGCTGTGATATTGGAAAAGAGTGCTGAATATACCATGAATGTCCAAAAGAACAAACACATATGTTTTGAAGAAAAGACAGCCAGAGTGTTCCTTGAAGGCTAAGATGATAAAGTTTCTTCTAACATACATTAAGCATGTGCCTAGAAGAAACTATTTCTTAGAGAGGAACATCATTCTTGGAAAGGTGGAGGTCTGGCAAATTAGAAGACCCTCAGCCAGATGGATTGACACAGTGACTGCTGCAATGAACTCAAGGTTTCAGGAAGTGTGAGGATGGCAGAGGATAGGACAGGGTTTAGATCCATTGTTCATAGTGTCACTGTGGGTTTTACTTGACTCATTAACACCTAATAAGAACAATATAAGCAACATCCCCAAAGACAAAGTTTTATCATTTTTGTCTCCAAGAAACACTTGGCTGTACTTTATCAAAGATATATCTGTTTATTCTTTTTGGTATACCAAGGGCTATTGTCTCCAACACCTCAAAAGCATCAATTCCTTTGTCATTCTTATTCGAAGTCTAATACTCAAGTACACAATGATTGAAAACACCTTTCTCTGAATGAGGCACATCTTAGTCCTCAAACTGGAACTGCTGCTCCTCCATAATTTGAAGAGTTCTGTGATTGTAGATCTTCCTAGTGCAGTATACCTCCTGGTCTCCTAACTACTGGTACAATGCATTAATTGTGAATTGAAGTAAGATTAATTCATTGACAGTTTCAATATTTCCTTCATGTATCATTATGTTACCTATTAGCTCAGTCGTGAAAATTTTATATTTTCTTGACATTGATATGCAATTCACATAGACGGCTGTATTCTTTGAACTTTTTCAGCAAGCACTTCAGGTTCTCTTCTACTACTTAATTTTTTAATAATTTTTATGTGCCATCAAGTTGCCTGTTACTCAGAGCAACCCTATGTACAATGGCTCTGAATTTTGCCTTAACCTGAGCCAGTTTCACCGATTCTGATGCACCTATCCCCATTACCACAGTTATTGTTCCAATCCATCTCATCCAGGGTCTTTCCCTCTTGTGCTGTCCCTCTACCCTACTACACATAATGTTCTCCAAGTACTGATCCCTCCTGATCATGTGTCCAAAGTATGTGAAACAGAGTTTAAAAATTTTTGGGATTTTGAACCAAGGAGAAACTTGGTTTCACTTTCTCCAAGATAGATGTTTGTTCTCTTGGAGGTCCATGATACATTCAATATTCTTTTTCAGCACCACAACTCAAAGGCACCAATTCTTCTTCTGTCATCCTTTCTCATTGTCCACCTCTTTGATGTATAGCAAGTAATTGAGAAGATCATGAATGAAGCAGACACACCTTAGTCTCTAGACTAACATCATTGCTCTTTAGCACTTTGCAGAACTCCCTGACAGCAGATTTTCCCAATGCAATTTGTCTTTTGATTTCCTAACTGCGGATGCCAAGAGTATTGATTGTGGAGCTGAACAA